ACCTTACGGTGACAGGCTGAGAGCCATGGGGCTCTTTAGCCTGGAAAAGTGCAGGCTCAGGGGTGATCTGATGGCCACCTATAAGTTTATCAGGGGTGACCACCAGTACCTGGGGGAACGTTTGTTCACCAGAGCACCCCAAGGGATGATGAAGTCGAACGGTCATAAACTACTGCAAGACTGTTCCAGGCTGGACATAAGGAAGAATTTCTTTACTGTCCAAGCCCCCAAGGTCTGGAATGGTCTGCCATCGGAGGTGGTTCAAGCACCTACATTGAACACCTTCAAGAGCAAATTGGATGCTTTTCTTGCTGGGATCCTATGACCCCATGTGACTTCCTGCCCTTTGGGTGGGGGGCTGGACTCCATGATCTTCCGAGGTCCCTTCCAGCCCTAATGTCTATGAAATCTATGAAATAAGGTTGTTAAAATAAATCCAAGCCAATTGTTATTTTGTCGATACTTTATGACTATTAAATAATGATAATAACATAATCTTTTACAGGAGTGAAGGAATTCTTTGAGCATATTAAGCATGAGAGAATAAAAGACCTGGAATACATGGTTAGAAAGTATGCTGCCATTGGACCATTGCTGACAAAAGTGGAAGGTCTAATTGTCAACACAAACACTGGCAGATCTGCAAAACTAGCTTCCTATTATGCATACTGGGAAAATAAAATTTATCATACTTTGACACAGTTAATTCTGAAGTAAGTCTAGAGTTTGCTTTAAAGGATTGATGGTCTTGAATCTGTGGGTTTTTTTGCCAAGTGATTTGTTAAAACCATACATACTAGTATTCAGTCTATACATACAGTTTCACATAAAGCACCTAAATGATGCCATGCTTGAAACATGGAACTGTTAGCTTTATGGCCAATGGGACAAGAACCCTAATTCTGAGTGAATGGATATTATTATGCCTATGGCAGAACAAGGGTTAAGATAATCTCTACACTGTGAGTAGCTTGTATTCTGGCAGGCATTTTATTTTTAAAACCAATGGACAGAATCTCTAGACTCTGAACTGTGAAGGCCAGTTTTGTATCTGTAGTGCCACAAGTGCTAGTATAAGGGCAAAAGGATGGTAGGTTACCTCTTGCCTGTTCAGTGGCAGATAGAGATCAGTGTAGACTGTGCCACAGGACAACTTGAGGCCATTGCAGGGATGCAGAACCATTCAGTGTAAAATCACTCTTTCTGCCTCTCCTCCTACTTCTGATTCACTTCCTTCCTTTTACGCTCCACCCGTAGTTTGTTCCAGAGTGATGCCTGTTACTGTGGAGCTGACCACCTGCTGGGCTTAGCTGCCCTCAGGACGAGGCTAATGTCTTCCCTACAGAATGTTTTGTGCCAGCAGGCTGGGACAAAGCATCACAGAGCAATGTTGACGTGGCTGTGAGAATGCCTCACTTGCTTCTGCTTTCTGGGAGCCTCTCTGAAATCAGTTTACCAGAGCTCAATTTCTCATCTCTTTTATTTTTGTGCACTCTAGGTCCAGTCCTGTCATCCCCTGCATACAAAATTATTTTCTCTGTCTGGCATTCTTGGACAACTGTCATCCTTAGGTGAATGCAGGGGCCTCCTGTTTAAGACATCAGGTAGCGCTGCTTGCGTCTCTGAAGGAATGTCAGCCTTGTGCCTGCAGTCTGTGCTATCTACTTCTGTGTGTCACTGCTTGTATGATTGTCTTTAATCGTTTTCTTAAAAACTTTTTGCAGGAATTTGCAGGCTTTTAATGCAGCAGTTCTTGGGACTGTCCCCCTGTTCCAAACAGAAACTATTTTATCTGCTCCTGAAATAATCTTACAGCCGAATGCCAGCGAAATTGATAAAATGACGGTTAATTGTGTCAGGGAATGTGTTGAAGTCACTAAGGTGATTATTGATTAAGGTTATTCAGAGAATGTTTTTTGGCATAATGGGTGATTCTTGCTTTATTTGGATGGTTACAACATCAAAGCAAAGCTTTTATATGATGGAAATATTCATTGCAGCTTTCTCTTTTTACTAACTGGTCTGATGACACAGTATCATTTTATACAGTTTTTACTCCGGCAAAACTCTCATAGACCTTGTTAAGAGCTTTGTCTGGGCAATAGGATCTATTCAGCACTATAAAGAAATCTACACCAGCAGGATATGCCATGCAAATATTGCTAAGGATTCTGCCTTTGGCTGAGTAAATGAGTTGGGTGGGAAGGTGTGCAGTTAGTTCTGTCTATAGCTTTCAAACTCCTCTAAAGCAGTAGGGGAGGTTACTTGCCTAGCTCTTAAGAAAGTGCTAGGAGTGGATCATAGGTGCCAGAGAAGTCCAAGATACTTGGTGATTGGTGGATGCACGGCTCCTGTATCAAGTGCCCACCTCAGCATGCAGAAGAAGATGAGCCCATCACCTTGAGTTTTTTTAATGACCTCTCTCAGAACCCGGTCATAGGTGCCAGAGAAATCCAAGATACAGTGTTTCCAACTGGTTGGCCTACTTGTATCAATGAGTTGTGTGCTCTTTTGTGGGGCACACATTGCTTCTTTCCAAAAATGACCCAAATGTTCTGGGAGCTATCTTGTCTTGCACTGATGTGCAGATAGCACATATATCCTTACGCATGGCTTTCTCAAAGATTGGGGTAATCCTAAGGAAATACATTCAGGACAGGCCTCCTCCCAGCTTCATAGCCGAAGATTTCCTCCTCTCGCCATGCTGAGCCTGATTGACTTGCCTCTCTGTGCTAAGGTTATGACATCCCCAAAAGGTTTTCTTAAAAAGAGACCAAAGGATGATGCCACAGGGAATGTATATGGCATCTTTTGGTCCTTTACATTCACTAGAAGGGTATGTCTAGCTTTGTCAAACGCTAAGCCGTTGATTTAAAAAATTGTGTGTGTTGGCATATTTTAGATCTGAATTGAGCCTTGGGTATTTGGATAAAGCCTCACGCTAAATCTCCTAATTAAGAGTTAATGCCTGTGACTAATTTCATTCACTCTGTTAAGTAATTCTTTGCATTGCTCTCTCTGAAAACACCAGCAATTTGTGCGGTGGATGCACGGCTCCTGTATTGAGTGCCCACCTCAGCATGCAGAAGAAGATGAGCCCATCACCTTGAGTTTTTTTAATGACCTCTCTCAGAACCCGGTGATAATTGAACAGGCTGTTCTCATCACCCAGAACGTACACAAGCTCCTGATTTCTCTCACCAAGTATCTCAACCGGTGGAAGAGGTATCGTCCACTGTGGAAATTAGATAAAGCCATCGTCATGGAGAAGTTTGCTGCAAGGAAACCTGCTTGCGTCACCTTCGATGAGAAGCTGCAGTTCTACATGAAGGTTGCCCAAGAAGTGACTCAACAGCCCTTGATTAAGGATGAGCAATGCATCAGGCTTCAGCTGGGCCCATTAGCTTACACTGTGCAGGAGAATGCCAAAGGCTGGGTGATGTCTCTGGGGAAACTTCTAAATGAGTCTGCCAGAGAGGAACTCTTCAGTCTGCAGGAAGACATTGAGGTAGATGTTTTCTCTGATATGATATCATTATCCTGCATGATCAGCTGTGAGTGGGGCTCCTTATTTGCATAACTTGTATAGCCTATTTTATAAGAGACAAGGTATTATTATTGAGATACTGTTGTATTTTTATTATTAGATTTTTAAAATCACAAATTGCCAATTTTAGTATAAGAAGTCTTAATTGTGTTTAGTGCCTGAATAACTCTAATTTTGCTTAACTGTATATGTTTGTGCTTAATTATTTTCTTAACACTGCTTCTGAAGATTAACACTGCCTCTTTTTCCTTTTTATAGAGATTATCTCAGAACCTTAGGAAAACACCCGACTCTCTGGAGGATCTCAAATTTGTTCTTGGCACAATTGCAGATATCAAAGATATGTCTTTGCGTGTGGAACTGAAATATCTAGACATTCAGGAGAGATACCGTACCCTTGCAGTATATAACATTCCTGTGAGTGAGCTTATGTCAGTCCTATAGACATTTTGTATTTGTGTTTCAGATGTGAATAGCTGTCACATAAATGAATAATTAAGTTTTTAAAAAGTTTTTCAAATGAACAGGATCAAAAGGATCAAATTAACAGGAACTTCTGTACCTTCCCTCCCTCCTATCTCTATCCATTGTCTTCCAAACTTCTACTCATTTGCATTTTCATAGACCTGTGTGTTGTAAATTAGTTTCTTTTCTACCTTGGAGAACACATAACACCAGAGTCTCCCTATGCCTGACGAAGGGTGTTTGTGCCTGAAAGCTTGCAAATAATTTCTTTCCAACTATGTAGTTGGTTTAATAGAAAATATTACATCTACCCAAAGAACCTTGCCTGCCTACGTCCTTAGACCAACAGGGCTACAACCAACAACCCAGGATCAAAAGGGAAATACTATCACATCGTTGTACCCATAGTGAAATTTGCAGGCTTGCTATACATTTGTTTAACTCGGATTCATTTAATTTAAATAGTGTTTATATATTCCAGAACTAGAGGTCTAATTGCAGGCCTGACTTTTCTGTAAGTAATTTCTACATGTGAGTGCTCCCAATGCAGTCATTTGTACTGCCTCTTAGAAGTGTCCCTGTTTGCACAGCTTGAGTACTGTTATGTAGATTAAAACCTGATTAAACCTGAGTGACCAGCCCTATGGACTGGAAGAGTAGCCACCCCTCCTCTGTCCTTGTTGTTGGGAATCTAGAACCACAGAAACTTGTATCCCATAATCCCTGTCCTGGCCTGCCATCACCATGACCTTCTGAACCAGCTTGCATGATGCTGGCTTAGCGATCCCTTTCCTTCCTAGCTCTTCTTGGTCACCAGCATTCTCCCTAAGGGGAATCTGGAATGTAGGATGCTTGCCAAAGGATTTGGACGCATCTGAAGCCCCAGGCGGGGGTGGAGGATGCTTGCCAGTAGCAGGGCCACATATGGTTCTTGACTGACTCATGGATCTGGAATTGATTTGGATGATTTGACTTGGGACATGAACATTTTTTCTTAAAAAAATGTCTGGAATGTGTAGGATCTTGGACCATTCTTTGCACCCTGGATCAGTTTCAACCTATGTAAAAATTGCTGTATTGGGCCCATATAATTACATTTGTATGTGTGTAGGGGCTTAGATCTCCTGTTTCCTGGCTGTCTAGTTTTCATCTTCCACTGTGTTAGGTTTCCTCTCTGACCTTTGGTTTCAGTGAATATGTAGTTTGCTCTCTTTTAGACAAGTGAAGAAGAGAGTGAGCTGGTTAACAAGATTAAGGAAAAGTGGGAGAGGCTTTTATTTGATGCAACTGAAGTTGATCACAGCCTTGGAAGCATCAAAAGGACCTTTACAGAGGTGATTTTTATAACCTTATGTGTCTATAAGCCATTTGGAAATGGAAGAAGAGAACCTTAATTCAAACAATATACCCTTTAGATTACAAAGCATCAGATTGGAGACTACAGTAAAGAGATCTCAGACTTCTTCCATAGATTTACTACTGAGGGGCCTGGTGGTGTTGGGGAAAACCTTGACAAAGGTAAGAACATTTGTGTATGCACAGTTACATTCTGAAGTAGGCTGCAGACTGATTCTTTGGAGTATTATATGTAAAATAGAAATATACATCACTTTAGGGTATTTTTTCTTGTTAAAATACAGGCTAATCAGTTGAGCCATTTGAATAACTATAATTTATACAGGTTTATACATAAATGATGGATTATTCAGCTGTCTATGGAAAACTTTCTTTCTGCAGGATTGGATCTTCTGGGTGTTTTTCATAAAGAATTGGACAAACTTGAGAAGAATCGTCAGGAATTGGCTAATGCTGAGAAACTTTTTGATCTGCCAATTACAATGTACCCAGACTTAATGAAAGCACAGAATGACATGAAAGGTCTAAAGCAGATCTACGAAATTTACAAGTCTCAAAAGGTAAGTGTTTATGTAATGAGAGCTTTTCTCTTACTGTGCCAGAGTCTGTCTAATTGAAATAAACTGTGATCTTTTCATCCTTATGATAACCAGAATGTAGAACTTCGTTAAACAACTGTTATATACAGGCAATCCTCGGACTTACAACACAATTGGTTCCTGAAAACCGTGTCTTAAGTCGAAACGTTGTAACTCGGAACCAATTTTCACATAAGAAACAATGTTATAAATGAGGGACTGGTTCCTGAACCAAGGCCTGATACCCTGTTTTCACCAAAAATACCCCAGAATTTTGTACTCAATCAATTATAGATGAGTAATATAGCTACATTAATGTATTTATATCGTAAATAGCAATCATATTGATTTGGAAGGACTTCTTTGAGGTGACTTTGCTGGACTTTTTGAAGGGCTCTTGGTTGGACTTTTTGAAGGGTTCTTGGCTGGAGTCCTCTCAGGAGACTTGGCTGCAATTTTTTCTGGAGTCCCGTCTGCTTTCTTAAAGAAAGTGTCCAAACAAGTTTGGACAGATGTTCTCCAGGGAGAGATGAGTGACACAGCTAACTTGTTCTCTGGCGTGGTGTTGCATTGGATCAAGTGTTGCAAGTCGAAACAGATGTCATAAAGTTGAAACAGGGTGTCAATTTATAAACGTTGTAAGTACGAAACGTAACTCGAAACATTGTAAGTCGAGGACTGCCTGTATATCCATGAGTGCTTCAGTTACAGTCATTAAGCCAGGAAGAATATTGTGATCAGTTGAGGCCAGATTCCAGTTGTTCTGTGTAACGTATTACTCCTTAAATAGTTTGGTGATTTCAGTAGCCCGTGTATTAAGTATGCTACTTGTGAATAAGTAGATCCAAGTCAGACCCTTGCTGACCTTATTTAGTTTTTTTAAACAGCCTTTTTGTGTTTGTTTTTGAAATCAGTCAAACGCCCTAAAGTTAAGGATCAGATTATGACTGTAAATCATGTTCTTATTACCATTTCCCGTGTTCTCTTTCTACTTTTTCTTTTGATGATTTGTTACACTCACTTTTTCATTATGGTCTTAAATTCAATCTTAACCCTTCATAGCAGGACTGTACTTTATCCTGTGCTTGTTGAATACTGTGCACATCTGTGTCCTCGTCCTGACTAAGGCCTCCGAATACTATTGTCCTAGAAATAACAAATAGTATCTCTTGTGATAAGCTAAAAGGAAACATCGTGATTTTTTTTCTAACTACCTTTGTCTCCAGGCTGCTAAAGAGGAATGGTCTCAGACCCTCTGGGTAAACCTCAATGTGCAAGTTCTTCAGGAGGGAATTGAAGGATTTCTTAAAGCCCTTCGCAAGCTGCCTAAGCAGGTGCGCAGCATGCCTGTGGCTTATCACCTGGAGACAAAAATGAAGGCATTCAGAGACTCCATTCCTTTGCTGCTTGATTTGAAAAATGAAGCCTTAAGAGAAAGGTTTGATTCTGTTTCTGTAAGGGATTTTCTGTACAAGCAAGGCTATTTATTCTTGTTTGTTAAAATTTTCCATGACAGATGTTGGAACCGTGCAAACAGTTTTGGGCTGTGGACCATAATAGCTGATGCCCATCTAATAAGCTTACCTAGTTTCATGCAACATAAACAAATATTTTGTGTGTTTATAGTAAAAGACCAAGTCTGGTTCTAGATATTACAATACAGTGGGCACGAGGCACCACATTCCCGTAGTGATGAGCTAAGTTGCTGTAGCTCGTTGCTACAGTGACAGCACTGCTGGGCACGAACCATGACACTGATGCTACTGCATGGTAGCTGCTAAAAATAGCTACGCAGCATTGAGACTGCACAGTTATTTAATACTTGCGTAAGTAGTAAATGAGTACACAGTAACAACTGCGCAGTCCGCTGCATGTGTAGACACACCCCATGTATACAATGTCATGTTGTTACAGGTTCCAGGCATTTTCACATTTTACATGGTCAAGGGGCTTAAAAGGCAAACAAAAAATTTGTAGACTGATGGGGTCAGATTTTAGCTGGTCTGAAACCAGTCTCTAAATTCATCCAAAAAGGATGTGGAGAAGCTTGAGAGAGTCCAGAGAAGAGCCATGCACATGATCAGAGGTCAGGAAAGCAGACCTCAGGACGACAGGCTGAGAGCCATGGGGCTCTTTAGCCTGGAAAAGCGCAGACTCAGGGGTGATCTGATGGCCACCTATAAGTTTATCAGGGGTGACCACCAGGATCTGAGGGAATGTTTGTTCACCAGAGCGCCCCAAGGGATGACGAGGTTGAACGGTCATAAACTACTGCAAGACCGTTTCAGGCTGGACATAAGGAAGAATTTCTTTAC